AGATGGAAGCTATCACTTCTGTTCTGCACGCCTACGGAACTGCTCTGAAAGAGCGAAATGTCAAAGAAACAGTCGCTCTCTATACTAGCGATGGCGTAATAATGCCTCCCCACTTTAGCGCTAGCGCAGGAACGCAAGCTCTCACTGAGACCTATGAGCGGATCTTCAATAGCATCCAGCTGACAATCACCTTTGATATCGATGAGATTGTGCTGATGTCGCCGGAATGGGCTTTCGCAAGAACAACAGCAGAGGGCACAAAGACCATGCTGCAGACCAAAACACCAGAACCTCATTCCAACCAAGAGCTGTTTATTCTGAAGAAGGAGGATGGGACCTGGAGGATCGCGCGATATGCCTTTTCCACTATGAAGCCGCTTGTACAGGATGGAATTCGACGTAGCTAAGCAAGATGTCCTCCAGTTGGAGGTGTAGTAATAATCTGATTGGAAGTCCTCAATGAAGATGTTATCGCCGTCTAATTCATTATCGCAAATGTTTCTGACAAACAAGATATTTAGAAATTATCTCCGGTAATGACAAGGCTTGAGAGGATCCGCAGCTGATTCCCCTATCCCGTTTCACCCCATTCTTGGCAGTCTCAGAGTCATCCGCGTATTCATCCCTGCATCACATCCCCAAAATACAAGAGATCGGGAATTTTAAGTTTGCCGATACAACAACACTTCTAAGAATACGAGATGTAACAATAGGCGTATTTTCTCGCGTCATTCACCAGTGGTGAACCATCAATCAATCAGCCCATGCTCTGAACTCTCAACTACCGGCCGAGCGTGCCCAATTTGGACCGGACCGAGAAGCTCCGCTGAACAATTCTTCCGTGGAGCGCTTACACCGATGGAAGAATATTCCCCGAAGCTTTTGGTCCGCCCTGTTTCAGCGCCCGCTGAAACTATTAAGGACCTACACCGAATGCCGAGGAAGCCGCAGCTATAAGATCACCACAATGTCTTTTTGTTTCAAACACGATGATCTCCAACATTACTCATAAACTTCTCTATCGACAATGTGGAAACTTCTTGTCAGCGGCTTCGTCGCCGTCGCGTCCCTCAGCGGCGTGAACGCTGCTTATCCTAACCCTGGCCCCGTTACCGGCGATACTCGCGTTCACGACCCTACGGTTGTCAAGACTCCTAGCGGCGGATACTTGCTGGCTCACACTGGAGATAACGTTTCGCTCAAGACATCTTCTGATCGAACGGCTTGGAAAGATGCAGGTGCTGTTTTCCCCAACGGCGCGCCTTGGACTACGCAGTACACCAAGGGCGACAAGAACCTCTGGGCCCCTGATATCTCATACCATAACGGCCAGTACTATCTGTACTACTCAGCCTCTTCCTTCGGCCAGCGCACCTCTGCCATTTTCCTCGCTACCAGCAAGACCGGTGCTTCCGGCTCATGGACCAACCAAGGCGTTGTCGTCGAATCCAACAACAACAACGACTACAACGCCATCGACGGCAATCTCTTCGTCGACTCGGACGGAAAATGGTGGCTCTCATTCGGCTCCTTCTGGTCCGGCATCAAGCTCATCCAACTCGACCCCAAGACCGGCAAGCGCACCGGATCAAGCATGTACTCCCTCGCCAAGCGCGACGCCTCTGTTGAAGGCGCCGTCGAGGCTCCCTTCATCACCAAGCGCGGAAGCACATACTATCTCTGGGTGTCGTTTGACAAGTGCTGTCAGGGAGCTGCTAGCACGTACCGTGTTATGGTTGGACGGTCAAACAGCATCACTGGGCCTTATGTTGACAAGGCTGGGAAGCAGATGATGTCTGGTGGAGGAACGGAGATTATGGCTAGTCATGGATCTATCCATGGACCGGGACATAATGCTGTTTTCACTGACAATGATGCGGATGTTCTTGTTTATCATTATTATAACAATGCTGGCACGGCGCTTCTGGGTATCAACTTGCTCAGGTATGACAATGGCTGGCCTGTTGCTTACTAGAGAACTGGGATGGAGATGGCTGGTCTGTTGCGGCGATGAGCTGGAATCTATTGTCTGTACATGAATTGCATCTGTAAATATTTCAACTTCTATATATATACTGCACGGCTGTCTGCCGCGAATAGCACATGAATCTGCAGCAAGTAAAAGTCTCTCATGACAGTGTATGGACCCAGATGTTATTCATGGTGAGTATGTAATGGAGTACCGGTTGCATTTTTACAGACGCCATGACTCCAAGTGACTATGCCATAGGCGTTTCTCCAGCCCCGGACCCCCCCTTGAACACCAGGGATGAACAGGAACCAAGCCGAGGGATCGTCCCACCTCGTGACCAAAACGTGGTTTAGTCGCCCCACGATCTCGGCAGGTAGCATTGGAGGTTTATACGAGTGCCAGCTAATTATCCAATGACTCGAGCGCTTAATCACCCCGCAACGCCGATCCCCCAGAGTCAATGCGGGGGAAACATCCTGACTTTGCGCACGAATAGAATTTCAGGAAAGATTCATTTGCCCCATGGGGCAGAATGTTCGGTCCGTGACGGGCCGAGAACTGGTAATAGAGCAATTACAGGAAATGGTGACGCTTGGCGATCTTGGTGATGCTATATAGACCGTGTACGTCGCCGTTCGTCGTGATGGAATGAACCGCGAAACAGACCTCACGAACCTGTGTTCAGATATCCCGTCATGCGTCTTCTATCATTCCCCAGCCATCTCCTCGTGGCTTTCCTAACCCTTAAAGAGGCCTCATCCCTCGCCCTCACAAAACGCGACAGCCCTGTCCTTCCTGGTCTCTGGGCCGACCCCAACATCGCCATCGTCAACAAGACATACTACATCTTCCCAACCACCGACGGCTTCGAAGGCTGGGGCGGCAACGTCTTCTACTGGTGGAAATCATCAGATCTCGTATCATGGACAAAGAGCGAGAAGCCATTCCTTACTCTCGATGGTGCGAATGGTAACGTGCCCTGGGCTCCTGCCTTCGCAGCGCGTGGTGGGAAGTATTACTTCTATCATAGTGGGAATAATCCCTCTGTGAAGGATGGCCATAAGAGTATTGGTGCGGCGGTGGCTGATCATCCTGAGGGGCCGTGGAAGGCGCAGGATAAGCCCATGATCAAAGGCACTTCTGATGAGGAGATTGTCAGCAACCAGGCGATTGATCCAGCTGCTTTTGAGGACCCTGAGACTGGGAAGTGGTATATTTATTGGGGAAATGGTGTCCCCATTGTCGCAGAGTTAAACGACGACATGGTCTCTCTCAAAGCAGGCTGGCACAAAATCTCAGGTCTCCAGAATTTCCGGGAAGGTCTTTTCGTCAACTATCGCGATGGAACATATCATCTGACTTACTCCATCGACGATACTGGCTCAGAGAACTATCGCGTTGGGTACGCTACGGCAGATAACCCCATTGGGCCCTGGACATATCGCGGTGTTATTCTGGAGAAGGATGAATCGAAGGGCATTCTTGCTACGGGACACAATTCCATTATCAACATTCCTGGAACGGATGAGTGGTACATCGCGTACCATCGATTCCATATTCCAGATGGAAATGGTTACAATAGGGAGACTACGATTGATAAGGTACCTATTGATAAGGATACGGGATTGTTTGGAAAGGTTACGCCGACTTTGCAAAGCGTTGATCCTAGACCTTTGTAGGTGGAATAGCTGACAATTTATTAAGTTATGCGTTATATTGCTTCGGTGGACGGTGGAAATCCCCTTGTGACATGACTGCACTACCTAACTATTTGGACCTTCACTTCCCATATCACCAAAGTCCTTGCTGCCTCTCGCCATAAGAGACTTGATCTTCCCCAAAGGCCTGATTATCGGTCACATCAAAGCCATTCGAACCGCCAGCCCCGTGAACTCGTTACTCACAATCCCGACTTGCTTAGCCTGAGTAAGAGTCTTTTCCACTATCCAGCCATACCTCACAAGATCGATCTTTTTTGTTACTAAAATCCTCGGCCAACCTCACCGGTAGAGATTGGAAAAGAGAACGTATGTTCTGTCAATGACTGTATCGAATTCGACCAGATTGCGGGACCCTCCAACGAGGAGACTACAAAACTTAGGATGTCAATCCTAACTGATAAAAAGACTGTGGTAAATCTAGCAGACTTTTAGACCAATTATCGTTTGGCACCTTGGTTAAATGTCAGACGGTTTCTTTCTTAAGAGAGAAAAAGGAGTCTGGCTAAAGACGTATAGCATGCTGTTACCATGGGACAGAATCTGATCGACAACCTTCAAAACCCATTCCCAGGCGCTCCTCAACAGGTTCAACAAACATACGTTTTATTGCCGATTCAACTACTCTCAAAAAAAGGTTCTACGAGGTGGCGATTCATACGTGGCAACATACACCAGCGAACAGAAAAGCTTTCGAGCTATGGTGCGAACAAAGCTTGGCCGAATGGTGACGACGATGATGGCATACCCTGACGAAAAACACGGAGGTATTATATAATTAATCACATCAGGAGAACTTACAAGAGTTTAGGATAGTTTAGGATGATTTAAGGTGAACTCAAGATGCCCTTTGAGTAGTTTAGTGTCGCCCCTGCTTCAAGGCCCCAAGTCTATTCACAGAATGAAGCACGTAATACATCAAGACAGACGTCTAACAGGGAAAATAGTGCATTGTGACTCTCATTGAAGTAGACAGTAGACGCTGGAAAATATGTTAGTAAAGCCAGGGCATCTAACTTCCTGAAGGAAACACTGCTAAACCACTTTCCACAATCTCTCAAGCAGATATTTTCTTGGAGCGCAAGATGAGACCAGATAGTCCGAGCGCTTTTATATCCAGGGACTCACTGGATGTCATGATGTCGTTAGAAGTGCACCAGTGGAATGTACAGCGAAAGTCACTTACAAGAAGCATGGCAAGTACGTCTTGTCCCTTAACACTGAGTATTGGACGGGCAACAAGCGGTGTGGATAACACCAGTGCCACTAGCAACGGCGCAGGACTTGGGATGCGATGCAGGGCACTGGTTGTTGGCGGGAGTCTCGATGCACTGCGGCGACAGAGGCCATGGCGAAGATGGCGAGGATGGTGTTGATGTTGAATTGCATCTTGAAAAAGAGTCCTGGAGTAGGTTTAAGGGTTTAGTCCTTGGGTAGTGATGAAGACGATTAGAAGCAAGTCATGTAAGAAGACAAAGCCAGAGCTTTTATACCATAGAATGAGTTGCCATCAGATCATCTAAGTGTGATTATCTCGATGTTACTTGCCCTATTAATCTGCATATCTCTAGATTCAAACGACTGACGTACAGAATAGGAAAAATTGACCGTTCAAGTGTGACCTACCCCTCACTGAGAACCTGACTTTTATTCCCGCCGTTACATTGCATCCCGTATCGGAATCTGTATCCAGCGGGAAAAACTGTCGGCAGTAGTATTTATGCCAGGGCAAAGGATACGGGGACCATGATACAGCGAATCTGTTCTTTCCCGGTGGCTAATTGGCCTGATGCTGCCTATTTCATTAAACACGACAAATCCCCTCGGCATTTTCAAGAAAGGTATTTGGCTGTAACGTTGGCCTTGATTTTGCATATACTTGCTGGGCCTCCTTCCTTATCTGGGCACTGATTGACATTCTGATGCTTGTAGCTTGATGCATGTATATAGTGAACCTCGTTTAGTAAACGAAGTTGTGGATCTATCGACCAAGATACGCCTCGACGAGACCCATGGTACTCGTACTATTCCTGTGAACCTTGACAACACTGAACCTAGAATCCGCTTCTTTGAGCAAATTTTCAAAATCGCCCCTAGTTCGTTCCTTCGACCCAGCGACCACGAACATACACATATCGCACTGCCGCGATAAATGTTCCTGATACTTTGAAACCTCATTCAGCTCTGGCAAGACTTCCTCGTTGATAAGAAGAGGAGTTCCAGGTTTGCATTTTTCAAGTGCGGGGACAAGAGCTCGAAGGATCCTAATGCAGTCTTCATCCCTCCAGTTATGAAGGCACTGTCGCATGAAAAAGGCGCTCGCATCGGTGATGGGCTGATCCTTGAAGAAGTCGTGTTGCATGAAAGAGACTCGATCTGCAATCTCAGATGGTAACTTTGCTTTTCCATCATCGAGAGCTTCAATGCTAACGTCTTGAACAACAAAGGTCAGATCGGGGAATACGGCTGCCAGGTCCATAGAAACATGTCCGCTTGCACCGCCGACATCGACAACCTTTCCAGGAGCCTCGAGCTTGCCCCACTGGAATCCATCGCGAAGTGCAGAGATTGAGCGATCCATTTGGGTCAACGCAGCCATAGCCTTTGCGAAGTTGAGCCCCTTCTCAGGGTTCTCGGCGTAGAATTGATACGGCGGCTTGCCATGACGCGTACAAAACGGCGAATCGGCCCCGGCAGATCCGTTCACATCATTTTGGACGAATTTAGCAGAGTCAGAGGCTGCTTTGAACATTTCGTCGAATTGCATCCACAGTATAGCTTCCATGTCGCTATCCCGTGCGATGAGAGCAGAGCTTGCGGTGTGAGCGAATATATCTGGCTCGACTTCCTCAAAGACGCGTTGGGTTGCAAGATGCTTGATCACTCTGCGACAGCGATCCTTGTCGATGCCAGCTTTGGAAGCTAGGTCGGCAATACTGATCTTGCCGCCAAGAGGAACATGTCTGAAGATCTTGAAGTGAAGTGCAACTTGGTATGCTGCAAGAGTATAGTGCGACATAAAGAAGGAGCGGTATTCATTTGCTGGGCCGTTGACTAGACGGAGGAGGTCCTGTGCTGCATCGTTGAGCTGGATCCTGACGGAATGTGTATCGGCATCACCCTGAATAGCCTTGCTGTCTTGATCGAAGGACGGTTCTTGCTGTTTGGTGTACCGCAAGTGTTTCACGATAGTCTCGGTGGCCTGCTGGACAGTCTGTGCTAACCGCAAGAGGTTTGAGTGGTTTGTCGAGCCCATTTTCAAAGACTAATCGTAGAATACTAGGTAATTTCTAAGATATGGTACAAGGGGCAATTCAATCATAGAGAAGTTTGATAGATTCTCTTTTCGTGCCAAGTCTCCCATAGCTATATATACCTTCTCAACAACCTAGTATTTTCACTCCTCATTATACTTCTGAAAGATAATGTCGCTGACAATCTGGTGTCAGAGTATTATCCACGGTGTGATAAAAAGAAACCGAACTTGCATATCAACAACCCTTCCACACCTTTCCATGCAGCCACGATCACCATGTTTGCTACACAGCTTGTTTAGATCTCCGGTCTTCGGGTCCCGAACATAAGCGGAAAGTCCCGTCACCCAATTATGTCCAATCACACTTGTCTCGGCGCCATAATAATCAATCTCACTGTGCATAAGATCTACACATCTACCATTCTATTGGCTGACACGCAACGGGCTTATCGAAAATCGGCGGTAGCTCAGAGGCAGTGACACTCCTGCTCGCGAACATCGCGCTCTTGTCAAACGCGAGAAACCCTGTACCTTCATAGCACCCAACATACTCGGCATCAATCTCGTCTCCTTTTATGATGCCGAGGTCGACCCAGAGGAGGATGTCACCGCCTTGCATTACGCCGCCAGGGCCGTATGCTGACATGAAGTTACGTCGCAGCTTGACGTGGCCTTTGTCCCATCTGCCCATGTGCTCCATCTTGGAAAGATCGGTCCAGTACAGGATCTGGGCTTGGCGGATGTAGTCGAGGCCTGGGAAAATGCCACCATTTGGTGTGCCGTTGGTTGTTGTACCGTTTGTTGCTCCAAGGGACTTCTCTCCTGCAAATGCGTGGCATGCCCTTGCTGACACCATTCCTTTCTCCATTCCTGCTGTCACAACATTCGTGACCCATTCCTTAGTAAGGCTATCGAAATTCTCGTCCCAGTACTCGCGCTCCTTTTCCTTCATGGTGCTATAATCCTGTCCTTCAATAACAATACACAGGTTGTCAGGGAACTTGGTGATCTGGACTCTTCCAGGACGTATCTTATTTGTCATAGACTTTGCGGGCTGCCAAGTACTCAATGGAGAGCTGAAGGTGTCACCTTCAAAGTCGGGGGTCATACGAGAACGATACGCTCCCCAATACCCAGTCTTCTCAGTAAGAGGCGTAAGTTCTCCGCAATGACCAAACCCAACTGGATCCTTGCCTGTTGACTCGTGCATGGATCTGGTCGCAGGAAGACAAATTGACTCCCTCCAGAAGCCAGCGCCATCTGGAAGTGATCCCCAAAAGCTTTTCGTAGAGTCGCTTTCCCACCATGACTTGAAGCTCTGAGGTGAGGTCCAGTAAGCCATCCAGACTCTGGAGGGGATGTTATTCTGTTCCAAGCGCTCCACAGGGACACTAGCATCCTTAATGAGATTGTCGAACTTTTCGATGAGCTCGAGCTTATCGGTGCTTGGAGTGTCTGCATGGTATTGACATCCAAAGATGGCCAGGGTAAAGTGGTGAGCAGAAGAAAAGCGCGTACGAAGCATGATGATGGCAATTAGTAAGATAACAATTGAATAAAGTTAAATGGATTCTATCAAGAGGACACTAGATATTAGTGAGTTTATATATCAGAAATTCCAAGTCACTGATTCACTGACAAGCGCGACTGTTCCTGTCAAGGCAATTGATGCCTCAACAATCCGGATAACAGAATTCCAGATCTTCCCCAGACCATGGTCCTGGAAATCAAATACCCCAATGTAGATCATCTTGATACAGGATTGTGGGGAAGCCGTGGATACTTGATATCCGGATAAGATATCGCACGCTAAAATAGTTCGAGAGGGGTGATTGATCATGTTACTAGAAAGGGCTAGCTCCTTGAATAAGAGTCAGATATACAGAGTCCAGTGGCAGCGACGATGAACCACAAGGATTCCACTGCGCCATCACCGTTGACTGCTTCGCGAACGGATCAAGAAATCGTCAGACAGCATCAGATAATCTTAATGGGAGCACGGTGTGTCTTAGTTGCTTGCTACAGTATCATGAGCCTTGGAATGTCATTGCAATCATTATCCATACGAAGACTAAGTCTTGGGGAAAGCCTGTCGTTATTTGAAAATCTCTTATTTTTCACGACTTCCTGGCAACTCTATTTTATGTCTATCTATACGCGGGATGTTCTGTCTTGTGGTATTATGTACCTTGATTCATCTACTGGCCCTCGCCAAGCAGCACCAGATTAGCTACGTTCATAATGGCAATAATCAACCATATCACAACTGCAATAGCAGTAGTATACCATGCATTTCGCATTTTCGCATCATCCCCTTCATTCCTCTGTCCCGTCACCAACGTTGGTTGTCCTTCAACTTGCAGTCGTGCAGGACCGGACCTAACAGTCATAAACTTATTCCTGCTCGTGAAGTAAATGAGAGGTGCTGTGACAAAGGGAAGAACGATACTCAAGGCCACCTGCGAGCCGTTGAGGGCAGCGTTCAGACCGGACCGACCCACTGCACCAGCGATAATAATGCTCGGCGTGATGCTAATGCTTCTTGTCATCAATCGTCGTAACCAAGGACGCATCTTGACGTTGAGAGCACCCTCGCTGACCATCTGGCCGGCGATAGTGCAGACAATACCCGCCGTGATGCCAGATAACAGCAGAGCCAATGCAAACAAGATTCCCGCCGCGGGGGAGATTGACGATGCGAGCAGATCGTGTATGCTGAAGATATCGGCGTCAACGGCGTCTGGGTTCTTGTATAAAGAGGCACCGGCAACAATCAGGATAGCCGAGTTGACGAAGAGCGCAAAGGTGAAGAGAGCGATGGCAAGTTCAGCTATGGAAGTCTTGAGCGAGGATTGAATAGCTTCGAGCGATGGGATATAATAGGTCTTTTCGGAGACCTGATTGACGGATGTGCTGCTTGGGGACGGGCGGGGAGGCACGAGTCCTCGCTTGACATCGTATTCGCGTAGTCGAGGTTGGACAATGCCTGAGCCTAGGTACAGGCTATGTGGCATGACTGTCGCGCCCAGGATACCGCATGCCTGATACAACCTGAGCTGGTCAGAATACCTCTGTTGCACAACCTCTGCTGGGGGAAACATACCCTTGTTGCTCAACGATGCTTTTTGATGGCAAATAGCCTTTGAACACCTCCCCGACTGAAGTGTTCTGTATCAACGACAACTGAATACAGAAGCATATGACCACTCCCATAACCAGGCACAGAATAAAGTACTCGAATATTCTGAGACCTCGCATAGACTTATCAGGGTTGTAGAAGAGTAGAATGACCATGACATCTGCGATGGAAATGGCGCATCCTGCGACCAGAGGGACTTTTGGGAAGAGAAGGTTAAGTGCGATTGCAAAGCCGATTACCTGGGATCCTGGTTTTAGCAAACATGACCAGAGGAGTATTCCAAAGGTGGCATACCTCGGCGATATCGGTCGCGATGATGGCGATTTCCGCAAAGATGTACAGTATGATGTTAAGCCATCTCGGTAGAAATGCTCGACAAGCCTCAGCTAGGTTGAGCCCACTGACGGTACCGAGCTTGATAGCGAGACTTTGGAGAAAGATTGCAAAGAGATTAGACAACAGGACAATGAAAAGCAACTTGAAGCGGTAAGATGCACCAGCGGCGATGTCTGTTGAGTAGTTTCCAGGATCAACTAGCAGAACCTTTGTAAGTCATGGCCATACAATGAAGATGGGGGTACATAATAAACAAGACCTACTGTAAGCGACAGCGATTATGAAGCCTGGGCCGATGAAGGATAAGAATTTGACCAACGTCTTCTTGTATCTATGTAGGCGCGAAAACCAAGCGCTAGAATCTCTTCTGGGTGTCGGAGAACATTGCGGCTCTGTAGGTAATATTGCCGGATCATTTACTTGCGTTTGTCTATCTTCGACGCTTTGCTCATCCTGGTTGGCTGAGGACATGATGGTGGCCTTGGCGGTCTTGGTATCGGGCTAGAATCGCTTTCTCAGGAGTGAAAAAATGGAAACGCGCTATGCCAGAATAAGATCACGTGTCATCGTGAGACAACACGAGGTGACGCGATTTTAGTGAGCTAACCCCTGCTAGGGACATTAAAGGGCTTACGGAATAGAGCATGTGTGTGATGAGCAGTAGTACTGTATCCGTGATTGGGGTTAAAAGCTGTTTTAATCGTAGAGAATCATGGTGATACCCAAGGCATATTCCTTGTAGGTAGATACATCTTTCGAAGACATCTTGTCAAGAATGCCAGGTTCATCCTTATCCACTGTAAATTTCCTGCTCCCCTATGGCTTCCATTCTGTTCTTGACCTTTGGGAAGAGCATTGAATTACAGAGGAACTGCTGAGATTCATCGCGGTGATTGGAGAAGGCGGAAAAGATAATTCCGTTTCCGAATTACCCATGACAGATTTCGGAGCGAGTCGGCTGTGCGGAAACGGTTCACTGTCTCCGTATCCGTAGCCGAACAGTGCGGATAGCGCGTGCCGTCAAAAGCCAGATGAATAAGTTAGCGGGGTATTGTTATAACTCCTCGATTGTTAAATTCGCCGACTCTCATCAAATGGCTTTAGTTTATTTCTCCCTGTTTCTGTGTCAAGGTAACAAGACTTGAAACAATATTCACGCCGTGAAATTGGCCTTGGTTGGAACAATGACGTCACAGCTCTGGTCCTCAACTCCATGGATTGATTCTGGCGATACATTGCATAAGCGCCGTGTTCCATACATACAAGATGCCACCTACCTACACACTCTCGATATCTGGCAGCCAAAATCTCTGGAAGGGTCTTCGCTCCCAACAGCAGACGTGTTGCCTCAAGGCAAAGGTCCTTGGGTCGTCTATATCCACGGCGGGGCATGGCGAGACCCGCTTGTTGACTCTTCCTCCTTCGAAGCTACTGCCCTCAAACTGCTGAGCGACAAAAGCACGCCTGTCGCAGGAGTCGCATCAATCAATTATCCTCTTTCAAGCCATCTCAATCATCCTACGCACCCCGCACCACCTCGCGATTCTTCGGAGCCTGTTGATATTGCCCGACAAGCGAAGCATCCTGATCACATAATCGCTCTACTCACGGCTATCTCATTTCTACAAAATGATCTTGGAGTAGCTCATGATTATGTCCTGTCAGGTCACAGTTGCGGCGCTACCATGACTATCCAGACAGTAATGAATCCCAATCACTGGTTGGGTAATGCAAAGGGAATTTCGGTTCCGAAGGTGAAGAAACCAAGGGTCATAGCTCCTCTTAACGGACTATATGATCTCGCTGCCTTTATCAACAACCCGCCAGAATCTCATAAACAACTCCAACAACTATATACCGACTTCACAAAAAATGCATTCGGTGATGATGAGGCGGTCTGGAAGGCTGTCTGCCCTACCAGTGTTGCAGACTGGAGCACGGAGTGGCCTGAAGGCAAGGTCGTCGTTATCGCCCAGAGCAAGGGAGACGGCCTTGTCCCTTATGCACAGACTGAACTTATGAAGGATCACCTCAGAAAGACGTCAACGCTTGAGGTTGTTGAGATGAAAGCTAGCGGTGATCACAATGATCTGTGGAAGCAAGCCGATGAGATCGTAGATATTATAAAGTGCGCAATCGGGTATTTAGCCAAGCTCTGATTCATTGAGGAATGGGACAATGGAAAATTCAGTTTAGGTCAAGTAGTCAAGTTTGAAATCGAGCAAGTCTCCTCAACATTGAATAACCTAAATTTTCGGCATTTTGCTGCCATCCCTCCATGATCCCATCACTGATTTTATTTCTTTGCGGCTAAGTTGGCCTTCCTTCTTTTTAATATACTTGAGAATATACAATTCGATCTTCAGCTCCAATGAGTCCTCATTCTTTCTTGAAGACTTTAACAATCGCTGTAGGCGTTCGTGTCGTTTAGTATAGAACCGAATCTTGTGCTTGAATGGCATATAAGGAAACGCTATGCTCAGGCTGCGTCGTAATTTTCTCTCTTCAGCCTTTTTCCTCTCGTGAAATATATAAGTAGCAGAATCGGCGATATCTGATGGGACGTAGAGGCCAAAAAGCCGTGGGAACTTGTCTTTTGTGCACTTTCGCAGTTAGCCATGAGGGTGCACCGGGTGTGTTGGATTTTAATACTAACACAAGCAAATATTTCCTGCTCTTGCTCTTGAGCCAGATGGCGGCACCGCAGCGCTATAGCTAGGTTCTTGGAATGGACAAATGCATACCCTAGTGGCATCTTCGAGAGATCTTCTCTTGCATAGCGATGCTCTACAACCTAAGATAATTAGTATAAAGAATAGCCTTGGTAAATTAACCAGGGCTAGATATAACTAACTGTTCCATCATGTTCACTTTTGTAGAATAGTAATCCCGACGCGTTGGAAGAGGCGCCGCGACTAAATGTCTTGAAAGACCGAGGTTGAAGGCCACATGATAGAATATTTAATTGAGTTCGCTTATAAAAGAAGAGCCTTGGACAGCAGGTAGGTTTAACGAAGGTGGACATGTTCCTTGGTGAAGGGTGAAAAGAAGTTCATCAAGTGGGGTGCTGAGTTGCTCTCGTCGTGCTCCCTGATTTGTGAAATCAGTGGAGAATCTTTCTTCCGACCGAATCCAGGTGCATAGCGACTAACCTAGAGCTTCTACCATCACTTCTAGGCCTTGAAGGACAAACATAAATAACATATATCTTTCTTACAAATATAATCGTTCTATCATGACTAGATATTATAACTCTATACTGTAATTCAATCATTGATTCTCAGAATGTGCACAACTTCTCTACAACTCCTTTTTAGTGCCTATGTGCTTCAGTTTCCATAGGCCCCTCAATCAAGTCTCTAGCCAATTTTATTGGCCAGTGCCCCCTGCGAAACCCAGGGAGTTCACTTGTACAGGGGAAACAAATTAGCTGCTTGTTTATCTGTTCAGACTCGCTTCTTAAATATATAGAGTGATTATAGACTCATTTTTGTATAAATCTCCAATTTTCAACGCATCTCAAACTTCATGCTTACTTCTAGTGAGAGTGGATGCAATAACAGCTGCACCAACACCACTTCCAGGCGACACCATGAACTCAACGTCATCCTTGCCAGTAGGCGACAGTTTCTCCCAACCAAGAATCTCACCCAGAGCTTTGGACAACTCTCTCTTGAAATGGGGATGCTTCTCAAACAGAGATCCCTCAACGCCAACATGACATGTCTTGAGATTTCTCTTCATGCATATCGCTGCTACACCGGTTGATGAGAGACGCGCTGCGCGGGTTGTTATGAGTGTTGCAACCTTTCTCATGAACTCGAGCTCCTGTACGTTTGGAGATACTCCTAGCTTTGAGACAGACAGATCATGCGATGTCTTGAAGTCTTTCGACATATCCCTAAACTTGGGTTAGTGGGAGATCTCATAACTGGGAGGTTGTTGACATACTCTTCGATCGCCGACAAGAACGACGAATCCATAAAATACGGCTCCTGCATCTTCTCCACGCTCTGGCCCTCCCAAAATGTCTCATGCCTCCTCTTAACATCAAGCATGATCAATCGGAACAACTCCCCCAGATACAACCCCGCAACCATCTTCTCAAACGCCTGCTGGCCCTTCCTTGGTGACGCATCATCAATAACGATATCAAAAGACGTCAACGGCAGCACAACATGCTCATTATCAAAGGCGCCCCATTCGCAATTAATCGCCATGAGTGCTTCGGCGGGAAGTCCTTCCATGTCGAGCTTGGGGATGGATTGGCATCTTTCGAAGTACGCGCCGTTACAGCCTGTGCCGAAAACGCAGCCGATAGCGGTTTCGGGGTTGATGTATGCTGAGGCCATCATCGTAGCGGTTGTGTCGTTTGTCACGACTCGGACCTTGAGAGGGAGTTTCTGTGGGTAAGTTAGCTTTGGGTCCCTCTCTCGCAGAATGGTGATACGAACCCTCTTTGCGATGGCTTGTCTCAACGACGCCGCTACATCGCGACCTTCACAGTCAGCAACATCGAAGCCCTTCGTCCACCGCTGAAGAATGCCCTCATCAATGGTACGCTGCGTTGTAGGAAAGGAAAAGATGAAGCTCAAGTCGGTGTTTGTTCCAGCTTCAAAATCAGCTGTCTTGAGGAATTCCTCGAGATGTCCAGCGACAAAATCCCAAAGCCGTTCAGCAGGACCAGTTCTCAGTTCTTTGGGAAGTTTGTGCGTGACTTGGTTGACTTTGTAGCCTGACTTTTCTTCGGACAGTTCGACAGAGAAAACTCTGAGGTTTGTGCCGCCGAGATCTAGCACGAGATATTTTCCTGTTTCGTTGCCGGTTGGTTGTTGCATCACCCAAGTTGGGTTCATTGGCTGTTGCTGATTAGCTGGTGGGCGTTAGATGACACAATCCGACACTCACGATGCTGCCGCCCTTTACACTCAGCCCTACAATAATCTTAGCTTGCATTTGCGATATGACTACTTCCTATTTTACCTTTATCCAACTCATCAATGAAGTGGTTGGTGATATGCTTGAGCTTTGCAGTATCAACCGTAAAGTCTCTCTCAAGCTCTTGGAGATATGTTTGAAGGTTCGCCATTTTTACGTCACCGGGAATTTAGTTGGCAATACCATCAAAGGGGCCAAACACCGGCACAAGGTCTCCCATATGCTTATATACCATTATCTACGCCCGCTATTCCATCAATCGATCGAAACACCGCTGTCGGGCCGGAGCAGTTACAGCTGCCAATTCACATCCAACAGTGATCTTTTGATGACGCTAGATCCACTTTAGGATTCACCAATGTTCTGTAACTTGCTTTATCTTCTCTAGTCGCTTCGTTGTGGTTCCAAAGGCCCGGACCGATGGCTCCGGTGCAAAAGCTCCGGTAATCTTGATACCCTAGACCAATTAGCCCATGATCTCATCAGAGGTAAAAATCGTGCTGGGACATCCTTGCTAGTGAACTCGCTTCGGCAAAATCCTCATTGGCCCATGTTGTGAGACCCAAAGAGGTGAAAATAGTATTGATATGGTAATGACTGTGTTTTGACTCTTTCTGATCTCATCTTCCTGTTTCAACATTCTGACCAAATCGTACCCAAGTTGAACATAAACAGCATTTTTCACTAGACGGTGATCAGTAGGGCCTCGACACACAAATCATCATCATCGAACCTCTCTCCCAGAAGCTTAGGGAGCTTAGCCAATCCCGACAATGCCTTTCCCCACCCAAAAATCTCAGACCAAGAATCGACAAAAGTCTGTTGCACGTCATCACGACCCTCATTCCACTCTGGCGAAGACCACTTGTTATGCACATCATTCCACTGTTCGGCACCATCCTTTGGTTTGCTGGGGTTCCAGGCATCCTCGGGTGACTCCGTCTCTGGAAAAGGCTTCTTCGTTTTAAGGACTCTCTCACCTGACGCCAAGATGTTGAAAGCTTCGAGAGTATCCCCAGACATGATAGCTGGCGGCCCTTGCATGAGAAGATCCATCATAAGCTTCAAGCTACCGGAGTTATTGTCGATCAAATCGTCGATATTGTTATCTTGACTGCTCTTGGTAGGTTCCTGACTCTCATCATCTGTTCCATCTTGTTAGCAAACTATCACTGCGAACTGCCGTTGGACTTACACTTGGCCCAAAGACCTGTTGGCACCTGTTTCTACCCTCGTTTTATGCCCCATTTCGCATGGGCAACACCATCTTGAACGATCTCAATCTATATCTCTGACTTGGTCATGGCTTCTTTGAGGTGCATTGGACGAGTGTAGATGGGAGGGCCTTCCGACGAGACTGAGTTGACTACTTTGTCGTTCTCGCCGACCAGCTTGGCATCTTGGACTGCCATCTTACATCCGACGACGAATGAGAAAGATCTTCCGCGAACGACCCAATCAGCATTCTGGACTCGATCAGTAGAAGAACTGTTGTTCAGAGGTCCTGAAGTGGCAAGGAATGTGTGTCCTTGGTTGGAGTCTCCTGGCAAAATGTCTTCTTCGCCCTCAGCTATCAGGGCGGGTTCCTCCTCTACCGTGCGGCTCTTTGCCTGTTGACTGCTTGCCTGCAGAACCACATGGTAGAATTCCTCGATATTAGCTTCCTTCTCATCTCCCTTATCCGCACCAAAGTTGATGTCAAACTTGGCCACCTTGATATCAACATGCACCCGACCAGCAAGCGGCGGTCCCCACATATACAAGTCTGCCCCGATCTCAACGGAGATGTGTGTGTGAATAAACAAGACGTCGATGTGGAAGCGAACGCCAACACAAATACCTGCGCTAGACGTGAAAACAGGAATTAAAGGTATTATTTTATATACCTTTAGTTCTAGTCAAAGAGTTATAATCTAGGTTTTCCTTTTATTAGCTTTATATTATAGTAATTAGTTAGGTATTTTAACATAATATCTAAGTCATAAGCCAGATATATTATTTGCAGTTGATACTTGTGGCTGAGAGCTCTATTACCACAGAGAACTTAGCTCAGTAACAATCCGCGTTTTGAAAAAGAACGAACCCGCCCTACTTATTGCGAACAGGATTGTGACTCACACGGCAATACACCCTGGGAGATACGCGTATACAACCAACCAGAACCAAAGATAAGAAAAGGAAAGCTAGCGTAAGTGACGTCCAGACAACTACTGACATAGCAATTGCGACTGCTTACCGTATGAGAGGCCCGGTTCCAGCCAACGGTCGCTCAGTAGGATTGAGTTAGATATGATGGCAAGGAGGATGTCATCTTGAGCTTTTGAATATCGAGAAGATAGAAGTGCTAGAGATATTTGTATGGAGATGAGAGAATAAGACGCAAGTGATAATTCCACTGACTTTCATTGCCCGCTCTTGATATATTATAATGCTGCCAAGGCTCGGAAAAAGTCAGGTGTTGACCCTGTCCTATGAGCGTGGTGGCATAAGCGCCTGACAACCCCGACCCCTCCCGCTAGTAGCAATACAATCCTTCTCGTTCTCGTACTTGAAACTTTCGAGCTTTGCTTCTACCGCTGGTTTTGCAGCAGGCTTACCCTTCCAACATTTCCGTATGCTAGCTTGGTGTAAGGACGCCCCGCGGCACGCAGCTCCCGCAACCGGACATCATTCAGACGCTGGCTCATGGATTCGGGTACGGTGGTCGCATCGGTTCTTGGCTCCAATGCCAGAAAATCGAAAATCCCAAGATGACAACTACAAAAAAAATCATCATGGAGATTATACGCTCCGTGGTTGTAATGCCAGTTTTGGCGTCATTTTCGAAGGTTACAGGTTGAGGTAGAAGAGGCTGTGTTTCAGGCAATGGTGGCTCGGCGAACGCTGAGGAATGGTCTGTATGGTGGTGTGGATGGTGGTCTGACATTTTAACATAGAGAAGCTGACGATCTGTATCGTGTTGGTGTAGAAAAAAAAAAGAGATGTACCTCGTGTGGGAGATAATTTAGTTGACTGATATACTGGAACGACATTTCAAAGGATTCGCTGCGCCCTGTGGATCCTGATTTCTACCTGGCTAAACACTCAAACGAGATTCTAACCAATTATGTAAAGAAAACAGCACACCCCGGGATTCCGTTCCAGATAAATATACTTCAGGATATCCACCCGGTGTCCAGGTCCCTTGCGCTTCTTGAGTTGACACGATTTTATGATTGCTTATCCCAATGGCTGAAGTCCAAGCTCTCGCATTGTAATTGTGCGCACAACTACTGAAGACCTGATTCATAGAACTAGTAAATGGCGGCGACAGGTAGTTGATCCCTCAGAGAATACGCTACTGACAACAAAACCCTACTTCGTCTTTTTCCAAGAATGTAAGTAGAAGGGCCGTTTGTTTCGATGTTTCATTGTACAGCCTTGAAGTCTAACAAGGCCTCTTGTAACCAGACGTGTCTAGTCCTATTGGCTGGACCATCGGGTAACCCCTTGGAATAAGGCTGTAACCCCTGAACTCTATTTTCCAACATTTCCTAACTAGTGAATGAAGATTGATGCCACGAGAAGCTTATCAGTGTGGAACCATCATTCCAGAACTACTAGAGCACCGGATGCGACTAGTAGCTTGTACCTTATTCAATAGTTCCGAGATCAGATAAGGATGATTGGTTCGCCACAGGACGGTGCTGGTATTTTATCGATGAACTATGTCTATCAATACCTAGTCTTACCTCGATTTGGTTCGGATCCGGTCGAGGCTGGATCTGCATAGTAGCCTCGGAAACCTAAAACAACAATATGGCTGTAGATCATTAGGCCCAGACAAAACGTCTTACTAGGATGTCGGGCCCATATGGTCGAGATCAGGAAACGGGCGGCTTTGTAGAGAGATTCTCGACGGTCAAGGCCTAGGGAAGTCTAGATGCTTGAGACCATTCTTTCGGATCCCAGAGAGCAGCAAGCTCTATATAAGAGGGATGGCCTGTCGATATTCGATATTTTATTCAAAACCAGACAAGACCATCAAATCGTATCCTAACTATCTTCTAAGCCTTTATCTGCGAGGTTTCTTCATTCTTTTTCAACTCTCAACGGTTTGCGAAATGATCCTCTTCAAAAATGTTGAACTTCTGTCGCTTGCATCTCTGTTCCTAATACAATCTTCCAATGCATTGCCTCATCACGAGTTTCCCCTTCTCAACCGCCGCGATGACTCCGACGTAAGCGTCAATGCCACTGGTGGGAATGAAGCCAGCACAATTCTACACCCTGTTATTCCTCCTGCCATTGACCCCGAGGATCTTGACATCCTCAAACTCGACACTTCAGTTACGCTGGCGTGGGCCAGGCCCACCACTCAGCACAAAAGGAAGCGCAGTGATGGCATCTTCTCCCAAGCGAACTTGACCTTTGCTTATCCAACAATACCGCTTGATTACTCCAATTACGTCTCGGATATTTCTTGCAAAGTCGGCCGTCTGACTGCCAGACTGAGTGACGGTGCTTACGACCTTGCAAAGTCGGCCTGGAAAGGGAAAGGTCCTATCATCCTTGTAACGGCAGTGGATGGTTGCGGTGACGATGATACCAACGAATTCTTCATTACCAAGTCAATCACATTCTCAGACAAAGACCACACTTTCACTGCTAAGGGCCTTTCAGTCGGATACAGAGATGTGGTTACTCATTTTGACCTGGCTTGGGGTAATGTTGGAACATTGAAGTTGAAGCGATCTATGGACAAGAGAGACGTAAGTAGTATCATCCACATCTGAGCCACTTCAACTCACAGCTATCGCAGATATTCCAGACACATGCCCTTCATCCACGAGTCACCTTGCCTAAAGCCTCATGGGACATCAAGCTCAGCGATCCACGGGTCTTAGGCGTCGACTCATCTGCACCATGGGAGAACGCCGCACTGCTCTACAAATACGGCAAGGCAGGTGGCACAAAAGACAACTCATTTTCGAAGGGCCAAGTGTCTAATCAGGATAATTCTACTTTCCCTCCCAATCCCAAGAAACCTGCCTCCGTTGATTACGGCCTTGGCCTGTACTGCGTGGACTGTAGCTTTGGAGGCACAACCCAAATATGGGGAAGCATTGCGGCCAAAATGCAGATGTCACGACCCTTCGTCAAAGTTTCCAAAGTCCAGACCGGATTCGATGCTACCTTTAGAGCCGCTATCAACCTCGGCCTCGAAGCTTATGTCAAATATGGACAGAAGTACGAACAAGTCCTGCAAAGATATCCACTCACCCCGTGGAATATTCCCGGGTTAGCAGACATCGGGCCTTTTGTCGATTTATCAGTGGAGGCCAGTGCGGAAATCAAGACTACCGGCCAATTCCTCATGGGCTCTACTGCTGAGTGGGATAATGTCAATGCACGAGTTGACTTTCTTGACTCGAGCAACAGCTACGCCAATGGCTTTGTCCCCAGCGTTTCTGCAGAAGCGCGCGCTTCGGGACAAGTTGGCGTCAGAGCTTCTCTTGGTATGCCGCTGAGACTTGGAGTTGGAGTCAACATCTTCCATGGTCTTTGGGTAGCTGAGGGAGCTGTTAAGGATACGCCCAGTGCGTCAGCTGGGGCTAGTTTCCAGGTGTCTACTGATACCAATGCGGGAACAGATATCAACGGCGGTTGTTACGGCGTTACTTGGAACGTGGGACTTGACAACAGCGTGACAGCAGTTGTCGATATCACTGGTCTGACAACCATCAACTACCCTCTTACAGACCCCATGACATATGAGGTAGCCTCTGGCTGCATCGGATACAAAAAGCCCACCGATACCACATGTTCTCCAACCTCGGTTGTTCCAAACCCTCGAATCCCCAAAGGACAGACGTGCAAGAAAAGCACCGCGTTGTCACGTCCTACTACGAAATCCTGGCTTGGGGCTGCTAGTCCAGTCAAGGATCTAGGTACATGTGCTACCAAGTGCTTCAAGAACAGCAAGTGTATCAGTTTCAGTATGAGCAAGAAGAAGTCTTGTCAGATGTATACCTCTTCCTACAAGAGTTTGAAATGGCAGTATCAGCCAGATTATCCGGAGTTATCTCTCTATGACAGGGCTTGCTATGCCTATCAGGTGTGTAATTGAGCTTTTGGACTGGATGGTTCTTTCATTCAGAGTTAGACAGCAGCTGTAAAATATTACATTATCCGTATTTCTTTCATAAGTGGTTTAGTAAATATGCAGTGTGATGGTCAGCTATGTAAGCACGCTATCTATACCCCTAGCCGTAGACGTAAGTTTTAACTACGTATCACGGCCCCGCCGCTACACAATCTAAGACCCTTTCATTGGCAATGCACGCCGGACTGGCTTCGAAAAAGTATTTGATACGATTCCTCCCTGGTGTCTGATACTAATACCGACAGCTGATATTCCACCAACGAGATCACCAAGCTATCATGTCTTCAAGTAACAATCCCCTTTCCTATAAGCGTGATTCTGAGGACGAGACCCGGAACATGGAGCAAGATTCAGGCTCATCTTTAGACAGCTTATTGATCGACCCATAATAAATGCCTTGTATAGTAAGTATTCAGAAAATAACTACAAGCATAAGAAATTGTATATGAATAAATCTTAGCACTACAATGTTAAGATTGAGGAGCATATGTATTACAGGTCTGAGTCCCTTGTAAGTAATTTTAGCCCGAATTGTATGGAGAGACAATGTTACAATAATTTTCACTTGATAATATCTACTCATGAACTGCTTAGGCAGCTAGCAGCCATACGTAATGCTTTTCAATTACTATGATACCAAGGTTTGGCAACTACCAATCTTCAGAATCTATAACCACCACAGTCCCAGAAAAAGCAACCAGAAGACCATGAGACTAGAAGTCTCTGATCCAAGTACAGTAGCATTGTATTCTGCTATAACACTAGCTAGTATAAGCCTCGATAATGGCCTAAGATTCAGAACGCCAATATAAGAAGAAATTTGCCTATAAGAGTTAAGGGAGCTAATAAGACCTAGAGCTTACGGGCCCAGAAGTAGGATCGAGAGTGACCAGTAGGCTCTGCTTAGCTAGAGGGGTGATCAGAACTGAAGGGGGCTGATGAATGGCTGAGCCGAAGCTAAGCCAGCAAGCGAAAAGGCCTGAAATGCTACAATCCATAGAAGGGCACGTGCCGCTTGAGTTGCGTCTTATAATACCATCAGATAAGCCGTCACTATACATTTATCATGATCAAAGAGGGAACTCTCACCATATCGATAATATTTGCTTATGGATTGTTTGCAGTTTGTCTTTCTTCGCCGCGGCGTTGTCTATGCCGAAAGACTCTGGATTTTGAGCAACATACCTTAGGAATAGATAGATCTAGATATTGAGGCCGCATCTGTCAGGGCATATTCCAGGCCCTCTTTTCTTACTATTCTCACTGTTTCAAGGTCATACGTATGAAGTTTGACCAGCTCTTTGCCGACAAAGTTCATAGGATGTGCCATGGTTACTTTGCGTAGGGGAATATTATCTTCAATGTAAAAACAGACATGAAATACTCCACTTTATGTGTTTAAAAGGAGGCACATGCATGCATAGAAGCACATGATAAGACTGTTACGAGTCCCAAAAGGGACGGCGGAGTTGTCCAGATGTACCGGTTTGTACATGTCTTGACACAGGGTGCGCAGAAAAGAGCGATGCTGATAAAGGGGAGCTAGCAATGTAGGGTGGTGGATCAAGCTAACCACAAAGTGGGATCAGCGCTTACGGCTGAGTTACCCTTGCAGTACCCTTACACCCTAGCAATACCTGGTGACTTCTTGTCTGGGACCGGGTGGTCTATAAATCTGTGTCTTTCTTCGGATTCTTGCCGCACTTTTCTGGCAACTTTATGTGACATTGTTGGCATCTACACCTCTTGCTGAAAGCATCAGTTCTTCGATTACGAATATCCGTCATGGGCAATCACACCAAAGTCGTCGACGGCGTCGTCGTCACCAACACTGACGTAAGTCACTGTTGATCTTCCTTTTTCAGGCTCCCCCAAAAATGTCTGACAGCTTAGCAGGTTCCACCTCCCAGAGACTGGACCAATGTATATGAAGACATTGGCGGGGATATGCGTTGGAATGAAGATATGGAAGAGATGGTTAAAGCCCGGGGCATCGATGGCGATGTCCAGCCTTTCTACGGCACATGTTCCTATACGGGTGAGACCCTTTTCTTAATGCAGGTTGGCGGCAAGGGCTTCTTCTTCTATAATGCCCTCGAAGATTCTATGTACTATGTGAGGGGGAATTTGAGTCTCGAAAAGATTGTGTCAGGCCTTGATCAACAAGGTCTGAATGCATTTGACCTTGAAGAGCTCTGAGCGGGGGCTTATTACAGGCATGCAGCAGGAAATAGCTTGCTCCGTAGTACTCAATAGCACCATGCCTGTGTTTCACTACCTTATCGTACCTTGGATACGTTACCTGCAACGTCATTTCTCTTATGTGACGACCTTCTGCTTCAAAAGTTTCTTCAGACGCCCCTAGCCCGGACATTTCATCACATCATCAATGTGATACCTCAATCTCTCCAAGAGTACTCCGACTCCTCAAATATCCCGAATTGCTACAATATCACCCCAAGAAATGATACGAGAGGAAGAAGAATGTACAAAGTCATCATTAAACGTGAAGCGTGGCATGAAACCTGAGCCATCTCATTGGGACATTCTTGCTTCCTGTTGGTTTTTTCTATTGGGGGAAAAACAAAGTTTTCCTTCCGCCCATTTTCCACTTGAATAAGATATTGGCAATTGTCGCTTGGAGGAATGATGTATAGGGCATTGCCAGATCCTTTGTGGTCTTCTTTGCGCATTTACAGTGGCGAGTATCCATCTTTTAAAACCTCATCCGCTAAGAAAAAACTCTGAAGAGCCAAGCCATTGACATTACTCTGGTCCACGAGTGGCTGTGTTGTTAGTAGGGTTGTCAGCGCAGGCCATCATAGATTACCAGTACTCTATCGTATACTTACAATATGTGGAGAAAAGGGTATTTTCCTCCACAGTTCCCAAAATGCGATCCTGCTTTGCCCTTTTTCGTCCGGTTGGGTGAGTGATCGAAATCCCGGTCTTCGTTGTCTCTCTACAGCGTGTGGATATCGTTCCAACCGTGTAGAAGATCAAACCGGGTTTTTTGGAGTCTGTCCTTCCACTCTCCTACCTGCGTCTTATTGGCCCAATCATACCCAGCGATATAGGATTCTAAAGCGAAGTAGACACCGCCTTTGTTTGCAACCCACGTGCATTGGAAGACGGCAGGCACAGCACCAACACCCTTTTGTTGGTCTGCCATCACAGTGATACCTAGAGCCTTTGGAGGCTTTGTGGGCTTTGGTGTCTTCCTGTCCCCTCCAATCTTACCACACCATCGACCATAGACTGCTGTCAGAGGAAGGAAGAAGTTGTCTTTAGTAGGACCATCGAGGTCGGTTTTAAAAAGGGTGGAATGAAACCAAGAAGATCATAGTGATTCCAGTAGGATACTCCATCCTGAGACGTAAGGCTTGGAATCCTCGCAGGATCTGGAGTGGTGTGTTTCCAGGCGCTATTAAGCTTGACGTTGAATTGGGAGGATGTGTCAAGTGGTTGACCCGTTAGCGTGCGGTAGATATGCTGTGCGGGATCATCATACGCCTTCTCAGGCTTTTGGTCTTCGGGTTGAGAGGCTTGAAGTTGTGTTCTACATCCCAATCTGTTGGAACCTTCCTATCTAAATGGCTACATTTCAAACTTCCATCAGCGTAACGTCTTATGTCTTTGGAGGATGGGAACTGTCCACAAAGAAAGAAAATTGCTTGTAGACGGAGAATAATGTTTGCTTAGTGGTTTCGTTGGGTTCCGTCGTACAGGCATTAGACAAAAAGTCGGATATCTATCTCAGCACGTCAGCGCATTTCAAACTGTGCTGCTTTGAGGTTCAGACTTTGTCCCTTTGCCAATTATACATATCGATCAAGTTCTCCTCACAGAACTTGAGGTATGTCGGATCTAAGACACTAGCCATCTTACTGGTAATTGGTGGTAGGGATGAGAAGTTCGCTTCCTTTTCATAGGAAGTGTCTTAGAAAGTGCAACAACAATAACAGTTCAATAAGCCACCTTAACAATATAAGCACTAACATCTGTTATCTCACCAATGTGCACTGATATTGACCTTATGTATCAGTCTGACCATACCATTTTAAGCTTAGTGATTCACCTCTGACATCACCAGCCTGAGCCGTGTATATAAACATACTCGTGGGTTTGACTAAAAAGGAACCCCACTCATAGAGTGGGCGGCAAAATTCTGTGACAAGGGCAAAATTCTGGGACAGCTGATGGGTTAGAAATAGGTGGGGGAAATCAGGAAATCTCTGGCTTACACTTCTAATTTTATCGCAATCTATTCGAAATTTCTGCTGTGACTCAATTGAAAAGTATTGAAGCTGTCGCCAAAAGTATTTTATCATGCGAGGCATATTTGCGGTGGTGTTGCGGCCGAAATTGTGAACCTTGACTGCGGGCCAGTCCAGCCCCGTTTCCTCGCCCCACGATGCCTTCCCCTCTGCCTCTGATCTGGCCGCCAACAGCACAAGGGATATCGATCTATTATTGTGTGTGCCTTTGGGGGTGTAATGTATTCATGATTCTGTGATAAGTGGAAGAAAAATTGGTCTCGAAGCTGGGTAAAGGAGCAGGAAGAGGCGGCAACTCGGGCTCCTCGATATCCTGTGACAGATCAACAAAATCAGGGCCTTCTTCATCGATTTCTGAGTCATCAGAATCCCCAAAAGTGAGGCTATCACGAACAGGATCTCTCTGTGAGTCGCCGAGCATAATCTCAACACCATCGCTCGAAGGAAGGGCAGGCATATCCTGAAGAGGACTTCGATAAAAGCCAGCAGCGCTGGCATCACGAAGTCGCT